ATTGGAGCCATTTTACATTCCCACCAGCAGTATATGAGAGTTCCAGTACACAGCACTGAAAAACAATGAACTTGTTAGACACTACACAACATGGATGAGTCTGGATGACACTTTACTGTGTGAAATATCTTAGTCACAAAAGGACAAATACTGCATAAGACCACTGTTATAAAAATCAGATGGGCTGGGCAGAGGGGACTGTAGAAAAGGGAAAAGAATGGGTAGATAATGAACACTATTCTGGAATAGGGAGCTCTGGTGGCCTAGTGGTAAGAAGCTGTACTGCAATCTCCAAGGCACTGAGTTCAAATCCACCAGCTGCCAGCTGGGCAATCTCCTCCTGTGCAATTTACTGCCTCTCAAAACCTGCTGAAGGGCCAGCTATGAAGGGCCAATGCAATAGCACACAACAACAACAATAATACTGGGATAGGTGAAGACAAACACTGAAAGAAATGGATGATTAGACATTATATGGAAGACAATTAGCAATCTGGAGCAAGATGTGCATTACAAAGTGAATTGGGAAGAAAGGTAGGGAGAAAAATGTGTTTCAATGAATGAATGAAAACCTGAACTTTCTGAACATTTTACTAAAATCACAAAAAATCTGAAAAAAAATTCCATAATTTAAGGTTGTTGTTTTTATGTGCCGTCGAGTCGTTTGTGACTCATAGCGACCCTATGTACAACAGCCCTAAACCCTGCTTTATCCTGTGCCAATCTCATTGCCTCTGACACACCCATCCCGATTGCCCCAGTCACTGAATCAATCCACCTCATAGAGGGTCTTCCCCTCCTGTGCTGTCCCTCCACTCTACCCAGCATGATGTCCCTCTCTAAAGACCTGTCTCTCCTTACTACATGTCCAAAGTATGTCAGGCGAAGCCCCAGAATCCTTGCCTCCAAGGAGCAGCCTGATTTAACCCTCTCTAGGATGAATCTGTTTGTTTTCCTGGCAGTCCATGGTACATTCAATACTCTTCTCTAGCACCACAGCTCAAAGGCATCAATTCTCCTATCCTCCCTAGTCATTGTTCAACTCTCTGATACATAACAAGTGATTGCAAAGACCATGGCCTGTATCAGGCATACCTTAGTCTCCAGAGAGACACTGCTACTCTTGAGTGCTTTAGAGAGGTCCCTAACCGCAGACTTTCCCATCGCCATACATTTTTTAATTTCCTGGCTGCTGGTGCCAAGAGTGTTGACTGTGGAGCCAAGCAAACTGAAGCTGTGAAATATGACTGTAGAAGCCTCTATTCAATTTTATCAAAATGATGTTTTTGGAAAACACATGAAATCTTCACATTTCAAAAGGTCTGGGAGGAAATACACCAAATTATGTTAATGACCATTTTCAGAGTGGGAGCTCTGATGGCCTAGTGGGGAGGGAGTTTCACTGTTACTGAAAAGGTGGTAACTCCCTGGCCCCTGGAACCACCAGCAGCTCTGAGGCAGAAAGATGAGCGATTTCTCCTGCGTGATTTGCAGGCTCCAAAATCCTGCTGAAGGGTCAGCCAGGCCATCAAGTTCCAAATGGATGGCAATGAACAGAGGTGGCTTTGTCCTCTAATGACAGGGATTTGGAGTATTTTTTCCTCTCTTTTTATCAATATTCTTTTCAAATTCATCATAAAGACTATGGTATGTAACTTTTTATGTGTGAACCAAAAACCTTAATAATGAAACATGTTTTATAAGAAAATAAATAACATAGGGATGTCCTACATAATTTTTATGGTTTGGAAAATAGCCAAGGATAAGAAGATCAAGGACAAAGATATAATCAATTGCATCAGTGCCAAAAAATAAGGGATGGGGTTCGGTGTGCTTCCTATCCTCCCTCACGAGCTTGCTGGCTCTTCCCCTGAATTTCTTTACCAGGGAGCCAGGGAGGAGACTTTGTTATAATGATTACAGAATTAAGCATCTCAGCAAAACGTCAATGGTTTGGACAACTATGAGCCGTTCTGCTTCTGTAAAGACTTACAGACCTTGGCATCCCATGGGCAGTTCTCTATCCTACAGGGTGGCTGTGAGGAGGAACCAACTTGGGAGTGTAGATTTGGGTTTTCAGATCCGAGAACAAGGACTGGCTCACTTTTCCCAGATGCTAGTGCATTTACAAGAGTCCTGGGTGCTGCAAACTGTTAAATACTGGCTTAAGTTCACGCCTGACTGAAAGGTTGGTGGTTCAAACCCACCTAGCGCTCTGCTTCTGAAAGGTCACACAGCCTTGAACTCTGTGGAACAGCTCTACTCTGTACACATGGAGTTCCCATGAGTCAGCTGGAAAGGGCTCGATTACAATGAACAAGTACTGCCACAGCTCTGCTTTCATTCAATACCAAGGTGCCTATTTAGAAAAGTGAATGAAATATATATATATCTATTTCTCACTTCCTATTTGCAGGCACTTTTAGGTGCTTCTTATACATACATTTCACCTTTCCCAGACTGCAAGATCTCATCTAAAAGGATCTATTGTCTTCTCTCTTGTCTTTACTTCCCCCCCCTTCTTTCTCCTGCCCACACAGAGAATGCCTTTGGGTGATATGATTGATTTGGATGAAAGAAAAAAGGGCCGACTAGGCTACCTTTCATTACAAACAAAACCTCTCCCAACTGCCTAAAGAGCTGACTGGAGAAGTATCTTCAGCTCACTTTCACAGAGAAGGTTCTGAAAATGGCCTTGAAAAATCCCCCAGGTTTTCTCCCTGTGACATGGCTTATTTGTTTTACAGGCTCAGGTGTAACTGCTGATGTCAGCAGCCCTCAACGTTTAGAATAGTGAAAAGGCAAACAGCCCTTTTCTGCCAGGCTGTGGTGCTCTGCCAGCTCGTGTGTTCACTCTCCAGTAAACAAACGTCCAGGAACTGCTTCTCCTGTCACCTGAGGTGGGGGGTGGGAGGGGGTGTGTGGAACAAGAGGGAAGTACTTTGGTTTATAAACCACCAGGTCAGCCAGAATCAACCATTCAGACAAGTCGCATTTCTCACATGCTAATGAGGATTTTTACCTCTCTGCTTCAAAAAAGAAAGCTCTCATTAGATCTTATATTTATGTGATTGTCTGGGGACACTGGGCTTCTTTTGGGCCCTTCCTCATTTTAAGCACGCCCAGGACCAAATACATAGATGGTTTCTACATCCCACTAAACCCAAAAACCGTAATTATGCCAGCAAATGTCTTCTGAAAACATCAATTAAGAAAATAGCCTTTTCATTCCCATTTCACTTGATAACATGGAAACAGCCATGTATGTTGTAAAGGATGGGGAGGGGGGATGGGGGACGGGACACACAAGATTGGGTCCCCAAAAAGGGAGAGTGGACAAATCAGCAGGGGTTTGAGGTCAGACAAACTCCTATGTGCCAAAAAATAAAAAGAAAAGTGGTCAAAGAACCTCTGCAAGAGAAGAAAGTTCTCCATAAAGCAAGACCTCTGAAGTTATCTTCACTTGTTACAGCTGAAACTGGAGCCAGTCCCTTAACAGTTAGACTGATAGCAGGCTTCTGCACCAGCCTGGCACCACACACACCCTATTGTTAATACCTCCTAAGGACAGATTAGGCCCCACATTCCTCAGAAATACTGAGCGCCAGAGGGAAGGCGGCCAGCAGGCTCCTTCCATGGGGGCAACAGCTCACTACCACTGATAAGTTCCCATTGAAATACCTGGAAAGAAGACACCAAGTCTCCACCAAGGCTGTCTCCAGCTACAGAGAAGGTGTCAAGCTTGCAGCTCCTGGCGCGTGGGCAGGCGCGAGCCAGACAAGAGTAATTCAAGTCATTAGCTCGCTTTAGTATGCTTTTATTGATGGCTACGTGCAATTGTTAATCAAATTATTCACCCAAAGTGTACTGAGATTATTCTTTCTCTGGTGGGAGAGCTGATAACTAGTAAACAGTGGCCTTTACTCTGTTGAAACATCTGTTTAATTAATACCCAACAAAAGACACTGAAGTTAGGCATGAGTTTGGGGAAACTCTGTTGACGTCATGGTTGTTCTTAACAACTTAATGCAACTCAGACACTGAATGCCGATAAAGCTTTTTTGCCTTCAGGTCTTGGTTTTAGCAGGAGGCCTAGTTGTGCTTCATGTAAATCCTTCAATTCCCCTTCATTTTTGCTGAAGTAATGGCGCGGTGAAGTGGCAATATGAATTAAAGTACGAACACCTGTCTTTCCAGGAACAAATCCCAAGAGGCTGAGTTAAATTTTAGCCGGGATTTATGTTTGCCAGGATTTGATATCTCAAAAGGATCGTGTTTGGCTTTTGCACTAGTAAGTTTGTGGTGTGGGTTTTTTTTTAAGTATGCTATTTTAATGCGCATTGTATTCACTAAGAGGAAATCAAGGTTACGCTTAGATACTGTTCGGCCTTTGAAAGGAAATAAAAGGCAAATGGTTTTGCGGATGGGTAATTCCCGAATCTGCAGAAATGTAAACAGCCAGGATTCTGGAGCCTATGGGCTTTATCACCGATGTAAGAAGGCTGAGACCAACACCAATGAGTCCTCTTTGACTAGTTTTAACACGTTTACAGTCACAATTAACATTCAAGGAATTTCCTTTTCATCCAAGCGTTTCGCTTTAAAGAGCTTTATGCCACAAACTGCTAGCTGCCATCATTCTTCCCCTCCAGAACAGGAGTGAAATTGTCGTAATACTTCTTTTCTGGTTTTGAAAATGGGCTCGGACCACGTCAATTTCCCTGGGGTGTTTGTTTCTCCTCTCCCTGCCTCCCTCCTTCGTTCTCCTAAAAGCATTGGAATTGAACAACGGTCTCCTCGTCCTCCACCGTCGCACGCGCTCCCCCGGAGCCAGAGGGGCGCGCTGCGGGCTCAGCAGGCCAAGCGCTCCCCCTGCCCCGCCGGGCTCTGCTGCCTGCCTGCCTGCGCGCCCAGCCCGGCTTGAAGTCCCTAAGACGGCCAGGCCAGTGCTTCTACAGGCAAAGGGGACGCGTCCGTGCCCCTCTCCTGCTCTCCTTCCACTACACAAGGGATTCGCACACAGGGACGGAATCTGAGTCCTGGCTGTGCATAGAGCTCAAACCCGTATCAGAGTCCTCATCGTTGCCAGGACAGCTCTTGGCCATTCCTCGGGCCTGGTCCACCCACACCTCGGCACAGCTGTGGGTCCGGGAATCCCTGGAGGGTTCCCCCGAGCCAGGAGGCTCATCCGGGACCACTGTCGACTCCAAAGTGTGCAAAGTCTGAAGAAGGCCCTGCAGCTCGCGCTCCTTGTTGTCCCACTGCTGCTGGCTGTAATCCAAGTCCGACTTGATGGCCTCCAGGTCCGTGTTGAGCCGGAGCCCTATGTAGAGGCTGGTACTCAGCTGCGTCCTAACTCGCTCCTGCTCCAGCAGTAGCTCGCCGTCGGGGCCACAGTCGGGCTCCGGGGGCTCTTCGCGCGCAGCCAGCTCTTCCTGGCGCCGGCGCATCCACCTCTGGTTCAACTCCTCTTGAATCTCAGTGGAGAGGCGCTCCAGCAATTCCTCCTGCTGCGCCCGCTGCTCCTGCAGCTGCAGCAGGTCGTCGCAGCGCCGGGACAGCTCCTCCAGCGCCGCTGCCTGCGCCTCGCCGTCCAAGGGCGCCGCGGCCGCCACCTCCTTCCCCTCTGCCGCCGCCTCGGGTTCCTCTCCTGGATCGAACTCGTCAAGCTCCAAGGCCGCGCCTGCCAAGTAGGTGTCCTGCACGTAGTTGACCCCGTGCCGCCGCATGCGGTCCAGGTGCACCTTGGCCTCGTAGCGGTCGATCTCCTGGTCCAGCTCCCGGAGCCGCTGCACCTGCTGCCTGATGGTGTGGTCCTGCGAGAGCACCAGATGCACCAGCGTCTCCATGCGCTCCACTGACGCGCTCTCCCGAGCCCGCGGCGACGACGAGCAGGACGAGGTGGTGGAAGACGACGTGGACGAACAGGGCGACGACGGTGGCTGCTGCTGGCGCCGCCGGTTGAGCTTGGCCAGCTTGCGGAAGGCCTTGCGCACCACCCGCCGCTGCTTCTCCTGGTTCATGGCCACGCTGGGTCGCGCCGGGGGGCCCCGGGCCGAGCAGGGGCGCTCGCGACTGAGCACCACGCGCGCCTCGGCGCTGCGGGGCCCGGTGTTGGGCAGGGACGCCTCGCTGCGCACCAGCACGAAGCGCACATTCTCTTGTTCGTCTCCCCAAGCTGTCCAGAGGCGCAAGATGCGCGTCTTGTTGGGCAGAATGCGCTCAAAGCCGCGCCACTTCTCCACGATGCAGTAGCACTGAGGGGGTCCGCACAACATGCCCTGCGGCAGCGCCTGGTCATCGTCCTCCTCGTCGTCCTCGTCGTCCGGAGGTTCTGGCAGCTCCCCGGGCCCTGGTGAGTCGCCGGCCAGTCCCCGCCGCCGGCCCCGCCGCTGCTTCCGTCGTCGCCGGCAGCCGTCCTCCAGCAGCACCCGCACAACGTCCGAGCAAGTGGTGCGGCGGGACAGGCCAGACACCAGCTTCTCCTCCTGGCAGATCCACACCGAAATCTTCTTCTCGGAGGGATCCATAGCGCAATCCGGATGCAGGAGGCGGGTCAGGTCCTGTTTGGCCCCGCCAGGGGACGTGGTGCCTTGCAGCTCCCGGGATAGGGAAGGTGCCCGGGACGCCCCAGCTCCAGAGCTCCAGGCAATTCTCCCCCGGCTGTGCACCGAAGGCAGGCGCCTCTGCGGCCGGGACAGCGGGCGTTCTCGGGACAGCAGCGCACCCCGACCGGGACTCCCGCCACTCTGGCTCTGCCCGCAGCACCGGGGGCCTCCGGTTTTTGCTCCTCCCCACGTGGCTCCTCCTCCTCCCGCCCCCTGCGCCCGGAGCCGAGGCCAGGAGCGCGAGAGGCGCGGCGCTGCGACCCGCCCCTCGCAGGCGCAGGGCCTTGGGTCCTTCTTGTTGGTCCAGCCGGGCTTTCTGCTTTGTAGACTACTCTGCTGCCGAAGCTGGAGCCCACGCGTCAGCCCACTGACTCCTCTCCTTGCTTCTCGCACTTGTTGGACGCATTTTGTCTTTGTACCTTTCCAGGTTTCATCCCTTGAGATTTCTGGTCCTTCGAGGCAGTGCCATTTGGGGAGTGCCCTTCCACAGATCGGAAAACTGAGGCATGCAGGAGCAACTTAAGCTTATACTCTAAAGAATAAGTGCTTCCCACTGGCAGAAAAACCCAATTAGATTTCAAAGATGGGAGGAAACAGTTGCATAAGTAAAGAGACCTAAATAGACAGTATGTTTCGTGGACACGTGTCCGAGGGGACTGACCAGTTCAGGCTGCAGGGCACAGTCATAAGCTGCTCCCCCCCCCCCCCGTTCCATTGAGGCCCCACAGAACCTCAGCCCTCCACAGTGCTTTTGATTCTTGGTTCTAGTGGCCTATACTCAAGACACAAGATCCTTTGGGCATTCATCTTCATGAGGTGAAATCAGGGTCATTACCATGGTGGTTTCTGGCATTTTCCACGGTTCAGATGTAGTCCAGAAAAGAAAGTTAAGTTTTACAGTAGGAATTGCAGAACTAGGTTTTCCAGAATTCTAAAACCTCAAAACAAGGCTAACGTGTTTCATCCTCAGCTGCTGTGTTCCACACTGTTTTAAGGTCCCTCTGTGGAAAGCTTGCCCTCAATTTGTCCTTGTGAGTACAAGGCTAGGAAATCAGACCTCTCTCTTACTTTAAGACCTAAGTGACTCCTGGGTTTTTCCCTAAAAGTATATTTATTACTTCACCCAGAAATATTGATTGTGTGCCTATTGCATTCCAGGTGCTGTGCTAGGATTTGGTGGTGAACAGATCCTCAGAACTATCTGAAAGGAGTTTACCATCTGATGAAGCGTAAACCCAAGGTACACCAGCTGCCCTGCTGGAGAAGGATGGGTCACCTCCTCCCTTGAGACTAACTGCCTCTGAAAACCTGCTGTAGGGTTGGCTATGGTTGATTCTGATTCCACAGCACACAGCAACAACAACAAACATACAATTTAGTAAAGAGCTGTGAAGGTTTGCAGCTTTGTGCTCTGTGCTTGGCTGAGGGAGCGCATGAGGTGTTAGGGGAATGCCAGAGTGCCTTCCAGCTCAATCTAGGAGAACCAAGGAAGGTTTCAGTTACCTGGTAGCAAAGACTGAAAGATCATTCCATTACCACCAAACTAAAAGAAAACCAAACAAACCAAAAAAACCCAACTCAAACTCATTGCTGGAAAGCCAGAAACCAACTCATAGGTGACTCTCCAGCAGATTTCCAAGTATAAATCACACCAAAGGTGTTTGGCTCTTTTTGTGCCATGGAACCACTGGTAGATTTTAGCCACCAAAGAGACCCAGCCTTTGGGTTAGCAGCATAACTCCCTACAGACTAGCAGTCCCATCCACCACCACCAGTTGCCGGCAATTCCAGCTGATGGTGATCCCAGGTGTGTCACCAGAACCGCACTCCACTGGATTCTCAATGGCTGTGATCCTCGGAAGTAGATCTCCAGGCCTTTTTTCGGGGGCATCTTTTGGTGGATTCAAACACCAGCCTTTCACTTAGTAGCTATATTCCTATCCATTTGCACCACCAAGGACTCCATCAAGACCCTTAGAGTTTGCCGGAAATGGAGGAGAGTGGGCCAAGCAGCACATTATGATCTACAATGTCAGGAGTCAAGAAAGTCCGACAATCACAGGGGTAGTAAAGAGTTAGGTGAAAAGAGACATGAGACTGGGTGGGTGAACAGGACTGGAATTGAATGGGCCTTTAATTCCATGCTAGGATGTTAGGATTTAATTTGATGATGACAAGTCACAAGGTGCTGATTCTGGAGTCAAACTTGCTGAGTAAAAACCTCATCCCTGGCACTTACTATGTTTTGAAGGATATTCAGCAAACTGAAAACAGTGAGTAAGCTGTACAGATTGATGCTGAAAGCAAAGGATACCAGAAGAAAGTCTATTTGTGATTTATTGACTATGCAAAGACATTTGGCTGTGTGGATCAGCACAAGATACGGCTACCACTAAGAAGAATGGGAATTCTAGAATACTTGATTGTGCTCATGTGAAGCCTATAACTAGACCAAGAGGCTGTTGTGTGAACAGAGCAAGGGAACACTGAATAGTTTAAAATTAGGAAAGGTGCACATCAGGGTTGTACCCTTTCTCCATACCTGTTTAATATGTATACTGAACAAATTATTTGAGAAGCTGGACTCTAAGATTAAAAATGTGGCATAAAGATTGAAGAAAGACTCATCAATAACCTTCATTATATGGATGACACAACCTTGCTTGCTGAAAGTGAGGAGGACTTGAAGCACTTGCTGCAAAGGTTAAACACTAAAAAAATACATAAATAAAAATAAAAATAAAAAAAAGGTTAAACACTGCAGCCTTCAATATGGATTGCATCTCAACATTAAGAAAATGAAAATTCTTACCACTGGGACAAAAGGCAACATCATGATTGTCAGAAAAAGGATTGAGACTAGCAACAATTTCATCTTACTTGGATCCACAAGGAGCAAACTTGGTACTAGCAGTCAGGAGATTAGGAGACATATTGCACTGGGAAAGTCTGTAATCAGGAACCTCTCCAAATTATTGAGGAGTGATGATGTCAGTTTGAGGACTAGAGTGCACCTGATTCAGTCCCTCATCTTTGCAGACAATTGCTATGCATCTGAGAGCTAGGCAATGAAAAAGGAAGAGAGAAGAATTCATGCCTTTGAGTTATGGTGTTGGAAAAGAGTATTGAAGATCCCATGAACTGTCAAAAGAATAGACAGATATGTCTTGGAGAAGATACAACCAGAGCTTGCAGTCCTTGGAGGCAAAGGTGATAGAGCTTTGTCTCACAGACTTTGGACATGTTGCTAGGAGAGGTTATTCCTTGGAGTGGGGCATCATGCTTGGGAAGGTGGAGGGGCGGCAAAAAAAGAGGAAGACCCTCAACAAAATAGATCCACACAGTGACTGCAGCAAGGGGCTAGAGGGTGTCAGAGATTGTAAGGATGGCACAGGACAGGACAGGGTTCAGATCAGTTGTTCATAGGGTCATTATGAGTTGTCCTTGACTCAAAAGCACCTAACAACAACAACAACAAAGCAGAATTTAGCTTTATCTGTAATGATTTTAAGGTCCCTGCTGATCTAAAGTTTGGTGGTTTCAGACTCATCCAGCAGCACCACTGAAGATAGTCCTGCTGATCTGTTTCCGTAAAGATTACAGTGAAGAAAACCAATGGCGCAATTCTCCTCCAGGGAGTCATCATGGGTCAGAATTAACCTGACAGCAACAAGCTTGGTTATTTAATTTTGAAATGATATTACAAAAAATACTTTGTTACGTGCTATGTGAATTATGCAGTTAGAATGTATGCAAAGTGGAAGGGCCTGGACAAGGATCACTAAGTCCTGGTGTTCTTATTCCTTCACGTGACTGTTCTCTCCGGACACTCCTCCATTCCTTATTCGGAGTGGAATCTCTGTTTCCGGCACCATGAAACAATGTCTATAATCCCACTGATTGCCAAGGGCCTGTGAAAGAGTCTAGTCTCATACCTGGTTCAGAGTCTGGTTTTCCCATTGCATCTTTGCTTCCTCTTCAGGGTAAGCCGCTTCGAAGGCAACACAGTTCTCACAGTGGTGGCAAAGCCCTTAGCTAATGGCCTCACATTGAATCCCAAGGGTGCTTGTCATTCCACCCTGTGGTTTTTCAGTCATTTATCTTCATCTGTGAGAAGTAGGACATAATTCCCTTGTTGTGAGAAAGTTGAGGCTGAGCAAGACACCGAGGGGAAGGGATTGGCCTGTTTCCCAACTCGCAAAGCTCTGTGGGAGCTGGTACTTTGGTCTGGAATGTCTACCTGTCCAATCTGTCAGTCACGGTTCACAACAGCGGTGGAACACCCCAAACAGGAACTTCCGTCCTAAATTATATTGAGCCTTTCACAAGTGTGACCAAGCCTTCCTGCCTGCATCAGTTCCTCTAAATGATTAACCTCAGAAAAGAATCCAGCAAAGTGTATTTACAGAAACCTGGGCTTGCTCTCAACTACATCAGGGAGATTGGGAGATGGTCACAATTCTCCCTGACCAGACTGGGCCTTGTGCTGTCATCTTCAAAGACAAAGTTTCTTACAGGGAGGTGACCTTCCCTGAGTCACCTGGGATGCAGAATTGTAAAAAAAAAAAATGCAGATTCAACAGCCTCACTTGGAGAGAAAGAGTTGTTAGTTGTCATGGAGTCAACCCCCAACTTATGGTGACCCCAACTCATGGGGACTCGTGGTAATCCCTGTGTTACACAGTAGGGCTTCTTGCTAAGATTTTCTTGGTTCTAATCCTTACAAGATTGGAGGCTCTGGTGGTTTATTGGTAAGGAGTTTGTACTGCCAGCTCAAAGGCACTCGGTTCAAATCCAGCACCTGCTCCGTGGGAGGAGGATGGGCAATCTTCTCTCATGCTTTTCATTGTCTCTGAAAACCCACTGGAGGGTCAGCTCTGCGTTGGTTCTGACTTGACAGTGCATAACACATGCACACACAA